GGCTACTCTTTTACCAACGAATAGTGGGATTGACCGTCACATTTTAACACCCCCACGGCTGAAAGGGCGAGCATGTTTGATGGGACGGGGATTCGAACCCGCGACCCTCAGATTGCGAGTCGAGCGCCTTATCCACCTGGCCATGCCGGGCCGTTATCTCTGGAACAATAAGTCTTTTCTTTTGTCGAGATGCTTTCATTCTGTCAACAACTATGTAGGTATAGGTTTTGAATGTCCTTGACAAAGTGCAGAGCATGCACCAACTTACCCAGAGTTCTTCACTCTCCCAACTTCCATGCAATTTATTGTTCATGCATCAGGAGAATGTATAATCTCTGTACTTTCCTGCCATAATCCACATAAGCCTAGATCTTCTTGTTGACATTTGTGTTGTTAACTTAGTTGACGGTGACTTCTGAAGTCAACATTTACTATTGTTGCAAATGTTTCTATAAATATTAGATATTTCACAGCTTTTTTGGATGCCTTACTCACGTGGTTTGCCTCTACCATGCAGAGAGCTTTCATGGCTGTATTGTTGTCTCTATTTATTTTTGTTTTTAACAGTGGCAGGGGATATTTTTTCATTTTTCACATGATCTTCTGCTATGACTCATTTTATAATAATTTTTCTGCTCTGCACACTTCAGGGTAATTATCAAATATCATCTTGTTCTCCTGGCTTTTTGAGTCAGAAACAAAGTTTTCACCTTACAGTCTTCCCTAGATGCACTTCTCATGGATTTAATTTCTATTACCACATAACTACAGTATTTCCTTGATGTCTTAGCTTGTCATACTTTGTTATATGGTACTTATCTTCTCTCCCTAACTTCTGAAATATTTGTCCTTCTGTCTTTCCCTATTCATTTCTTTAGATTTTACCATGTGAGCAAACATGGATGTATAAACGTGGCATATTCTTGATCCACTTGATGACAATCATCTGTCACAGATGAATCTTCCATTTGGACTGTTGGGGGGGGGGGAGTTGTCTTGGATCCTTAGTTATTATTCTGTGAGATTCTTAGGTTTGACAGATCCCTCAGTCTGGTCTTACTGTCTTTTCTTCTCCTTCCAATCCAGTCACTTACACTTCTGGATCAGGAAGTCTCAAACCTCCTTCAAAAAGAAGTAGAAAACATTTATTATACTTCTTCAGGTTTTTACTCCTATCTTTTTGACTCATCTTTTCCTGGAGATGAGACACCTTTTTTTTTTTTCAAATCGAAAATATGAGGTTATTATGAAAGATTCTTTATCACAGCCTTTGGATGATAATGATGAATTTATAGAATGTTTTCCTGCAAACCTCTATTCATCTATCATATTTTTCCATTAGAGGGTAGTTTATCAGTTCATTACCCTTCTCTTTGGCTCCATACATTTTGTTTCAAGTAGTCTAGTTTTGATGGTCTTCTCCATTCACCTGATAATGATTTTTAATTTAATATGGACAATTGACTTATTCTGACTCTTTTGTTCATCAAATCACTTACACACATTCATTTGACTACCCAGCTGGCTTTATCTCTTTGGTAGATCATTTATAACTCCAATTCCCATTCAGTATCGACATGGTATTTTATACACCAGGAATTTTGAATCAACACAGCTTAAGGAACACTTTTTGCTTAAGGGATGATTTGCTTCATGTTGTCATTCTCTTAGGGTGCACTCCCATGCCACACCTCTAACATGACCTTGCTTCTTAGTGGTGCCTGACTTCAGACCTATTGTCACATAGCATGCCTGTTTCTAACATCACTCTCATACTTCTTCAATTTTGATTGAACAGAGTTTTTATCAAAATAATTTCCTTTTGTTCCTTGACCTTTAGACTTTTTTTAGTTGTGAAGCTGTATTGGAGAATCAGCACCATTCTGATTTGATCTTCTCCAGAAGCAAAAGATCACATCTGCATGTTAGAACTTTGGGTTATTTAGTATGTTTTTGTCTCAAGTTTCTGCTTTTTTTTACATTACTACTCTGTGTTAGTTCATACACTTCTCTACAGTGGTAACTTACATCAGCAATTAGGAGGGTACTCTTTCTCATAGCCTTTATTTTGCTGCAGCTTCTCTGCTTTTTTTTGAGAAATTATCTCTTTCAGGATGATCGGTTTCTCCCCATGGAGTGAACTATCGACCATTTGGTTTTCAGTGACTATGAAAACATCTACGTCACCCAATAATTGGTTCCTTGCAATGTCAGACAATCATCTTCTTCCACTCTACTGGTCTAGAGTTCCAGATCAAAATTTTCTAGCTATGGCCATACTAAGTCAATCTTGGGAGAACCTCTTTCTTTATGCCTACCTCTTCCCTGCCTTCTTCTTTGGATTCTCAACAAGATCAGTTATGCAAATTACCAGATTCTCCTCATCACTCCAATTTATCCAGCTCAGCCATGGTTTTCCTTATTATTTCAATCTTCTCATAGGGAACAAGTTCAATTACAACACTGGAAACATCTTCTTTGGCAACCTTGAATGTTTTTTTTTAAATACTGACATTCAACATCTATAAGTTCATACCTGGCTGTTATTAGATCCTTTGTCCAAAAAGTTAGATTCTCTTCTAAAGTGGCTTGAATGTTAGCCCATACTTGCCAAAACTTTTCCCTGGCAGTCTTATTAATCTAATTGGGTTACTCAACAGAGCTGGGGAATTAGACATAATACTTCTTGTCTATGTCTAACTCATCAACATATTGTTTCTTCCTTCATGTTTTTGCTTCATGATAATTTTCAGCCTCTTCCACAGCTAGCTAAGGAACTGCCTTATTTTCCATTTTCAGATACCATAGGTGCAATCAATCAATTTTTGTCCCTCTTATTCAAGGACCTCTTCTGAGCCCATAGTCTTAAATGATTCTAAGACATTCTCCAAAATCAAATTAGGCTTAATCTTTAGTCTTACATTTCTTGGCTTTTTTCCTTTTGAACCCTTATCAATTGCTTCCTCTATGATCTATCCCTCAAAATATAATTTCTTTAAGTGCTTGCATTAGCTGGATATCTCTCCTTTTGATGATGTTTCATGTACTTTACTTTTCTCAGTCTGCTTTTGATGTTTCATGTTTCTTACTTTTCTCAGAAGGTTTTATACCAGATTGTGCCTTCCTACTTAAACTTGGCTTGTGAGAGAAGGTAATTATTGTATTTACATATTATCTACCTTGTCTGATTTTGATTCTTGTTCTGAACATTTTTTGTGTCCAGTCAGGGCTATTTGTTATTACTTCACCTGTAATGAATCTCTCGGGAAGGCTTGGAAGAGTTTGTTTATACAATACACCAAATCATGCTTCTTGGATCTTGCTCCAACTATGTTGACAAATTGACTTGAGCAGTTGATCTGTCTTTTTCACTATGATGTTTCTGAACACCTTAAGTGAATTTTGGATTACACTTGATGATGTCTTTGGCATCCTGATCACAGTACCCTTAGATAATATTCTGCAGCCAGGTAAGTGAATGAATCCAAATGCATTACTGAAATTTAATGACATCATATTAAAGCTTCTTCAGCTTCAGTATGCTGTTTGCCTCAGTTTATGATTTATCAACCTAGATGGAACCCTAGCAGATGAGTTATTTTCTATTACCCGTTTATTTACCACTTGGGCTCACACCTATGATACGTATGGCAACCCATGTATTTCTATACTGTCCAAAACTCCTGTTAACAATATCAGAGGTGTCCAAGATTAAAAACTTGATCATAAAACATAAAAAAATTATGGTCTCTCTCCTTATCATATGTAATTCTGTGTACAGATTCATCTAGTAGAGACTCCAGCATGCTATACATAATTGTAATTTTGTTCTAGACAAACGTTCTACACTGGAGCTCCATGAGAGGATGATGCCTTCTGGAAGTGGACAAAGGATGACATCTGGTGGCTGATGATCCCTCAGTAAGTACCTTTTCCCATCTCTCTGTGCACATGATTGCATAGCATTTGAGACATCGGTGATGAGATGCCCATTCTATATTTGATGCCTCAAAACTCCAACCAGGATGGAGACTACCTTATATCTTTCTTTGCCTTAATATTCTTTGGTGTTCCCATTGAACTGTCCTAAAGTTGTTTAGCCCAAATTTTGTTCTGCCTAGGACTTTTTGATTCTCCTTGGATGGTTTTTGCAGAGTATAATGAAGGGATCCTTATCCCCAGAAGCATGCCTAGTCATTATTTACAAATGATATCCTACTCCGAGAAACTTCTACAGCTACAGAACAAAGCTTTGCACTCTGACCCTGCTTACTTGTTACATCACCACCTCTGATCACACAGTCCCTAGTTCCACAGGTTATTATTATTATTACCAAACCCCCATTTATCATTATTAATGGGTAACCAAGATGAGGAAGCAACCTGCTGAGAAGAATGCCTTTCTGGGTGTCCTCTCTCTTTGGTCAAGTCTCTTTGAGACTGGTCTACTTCACTCAGTTCTCCCATGAATCCAGTCCATTGACCTTTACTCTGGTTTTTGGATTCCACTCAAACTTTGATTGACTACTTAATCATTTAGGATGGTCTAGACTGTTACCTTTATGCCAAAGAACCATTTCTGTGTGGGTATTCTGGTTCTTAGTAGTTGAGAAGTAAGTCTATGTAATTTAAATTTTACAATTAAAATGATTTTCAAACAGGAACTTACCTCTGAAATACATTCCCATCAACCTCTCCAGAAACAGAAGGAACATATTTTATCATCACTACTGTAAAGAATGAAATCTGGCTTATGGTAGAAAGTCACTAAATCATGTGGAAGTTGATGCATGCTCTGCTTTGTGTCAAGGATAATGAGAACCTAAACTCACATGGTTTCTGACAGCATGAAATCAAACTCAACAAGGCATTTATTGTTTCAGGGGTACATCTACTTGATTCAAATACAACATTTTAGAAAAACAAAACTACAAATGTAGTCATATATCCATTTATAAACTTTGTCTCAAAACCCTGAAAATCAAATCAATTAAATACTCTGTTTATATGAAAAAGAATACCCATCACTAATGTATATCAGATTTTCAGTATCGTTTTGTATCCAATATTATCTGAATATAACAAACTGTCAGAGAGAGAGAGGGGGAAAAAATTAAGTATACCGTGTACCCTAAAAAAATGAAGCAAGATGATTTCAGCTTCTATCAATATAAAAGTAAAAATGTATCAAAATACGAAAGATAATATATCTGTAGTATTAAGGAGCAAGATTGGGTGAAATCTAGTTTGTGAATATTCGTATCACTACTGCATATTTTGTCTTTCCAGTTGTGTTCATAAATGCATTAGTAATATTACACAATATGGGAAATACATAATGCATCTTAAATCCATACTTTTAAAAGCTAATGAAAAACATCAGTAACAAAAATCAGTGTTATGATATCTTATCTTACTTTTTGAAGATAATACTACAACTTACAAATAAGACGTAATTTGATACAACTGGTAAATAACATTATGCATGAGCAAACATTATTTCATGTAGATACACTTACGTTAAAACATAAAAAATTTCACCTAAACCTATAGGGTGGGCAAAAAAATATAAAAATCTTGGCACTCCCCTTATTTAAAGCTAATGTGATAATTCACTGTGGGGCTTTATCAAACAAATTGTTACAAAGGAATGATATGAAACCGCTAATGCCTTGAAACAAACAATTGTTGAAAGTTTCACTAAAGTTATCCTTAATATGCTAAGGAGGATGTAACATAGCACATGGAGACATATCATCCTATGTCATGAAAATGAAGTCCAACAGACAGACATTTTGGATTATTAATTGAACCTTCTGTGTCAATATGAGATGTAAATATGTTAATATGCAATAAATTATTTCTTTCATGTACACTATATTTATTTGAGAGGGGGGGAGGGAATGCCCAGACTTTTTGCCCACCCTGTACATAAACAAAATGAAAGCAGAAACAAATGTATTTCCAACTTCCAACTAAATGGTGCTCTTTCTATATATATATATATATATAAAGTCACCATTCACAAGAACTGTGAATGAATGAGTTGACAAAAATTTAGAGAAATATAACAACAATATTATTATTATTTTTTTAAACATGCTCTTTTAAAAACAAATCAGTGACACATGTAAGGCAAATGCCAGTGTCTACTTAGAATGAATTCACTGGCAAGTCCTACAATGATAAAAAGAAGGCAAACACTTGTTCTAAACGTTATGTGAAAAAATTTTATGTAATCATTTTATCTTACCATTTCAAGGTCACCGTTCTCTAATGACTCAGAATCCACTCCCGTTGCTAATTCTTTAATTTTTGTTCGGAAGTTCTTGCCTTTTGGTATTGATACTCTCAGCTTCATCTGGGCTCTCTCAATCTGGATGACCTCTTTCAGCTGCCTGATCACTTCTAAGGCCTGTGTAAACATTGAACTGGGACATCAATATAAGATATTAATGTTTTAGTGGTTAATTCCACATTTTCAGGAAACCAAATAAAAGTATCCTGTAAATTAATATTTTGGCTAAGAATATTTATGCACTTTTCAAAAGTGATTCAAAAGAACATCTCTTTCAGCACTTGTGTAACACATTAATTGTTAATCTATGGATCTGCTGTACCAAGATCTATTTACATGATTGGCTCTACCACTTACCCTGATCAATCTAATGTAAAAAACTAAGTTAACTTGTCTAAAGTACATCAGGTATAGATGGATTTAAACCAAACAATACAAATTACTGTTAACACAAAACATCATTAACTAATAATACTATGGTGAGAAATGAACAGTTGACAACTGGGTATAGCAAAAAGTAACAATATACCTGACAGAGAAGACTAGTTAGATGGTCTACATAACAACAATAGGCAACAATATACATGACAGAGAAGACTAGTTAGATGGTCTACATAACAACAATAGGCAACAATATACCTGACAGAGAAGACTAGTTAGATGGTCTACATAACAACAATAGGCAACAATATGCCTGACAGAGAAGACTACTTAGATGGTCTACATAACAACAATATAACTGATAAAGAACTGACAGTGCAATGTCTAAAGTACATGGACGTATAATTTACAAATATCTGAAATTCCTTACTAGATATTGAGCATTAATTGTTACTTAAGTTTCATTTCTATACGTCTAATACACAAATCAAGATCACTACATATATATATATGCACACACATGCACAATTGCCCAATTAATTAAAGAGATCTACAATGATTAAATTACAAAAACAATTATGACCTACAGAATTACTTTGGATTATTATCCTTGTGAACACGTAAACTTAACATACAAGTCTAGTCGCAATAGTAGTTTATCATTTATTTTTTAAAAAAATCTTGCATGATACTTTTAAAAACAAATCAGCGACACATGTAAGGCAAATGGCAGTGTCTACTTAGACATTTTTCTACAGCTAGTTTAAAATAAATTTTCATGCAGGTGTTCTGCATGTAAGTTTGACATCCTTGTCAACCAGAAGAACCAAACATTTTTCTTAATTAAAGGTTACATACTACAATGGTTATCTCACAGAAGATTGTACCAGCATGACTCTGTGTCTTAGTCTATTCTGGGATGGGATGAGTCTATCTCAAGTGGTAATAAGGATATTTGTGCAAGGTAGTACCAGTTCTTTGTACATGTGATGTGGAATAGTAATTGATGCTGGTAACCTAAGAATTGTGGGATACTGTTCTAGACAATGGTCTAACTTGAAATTGCAATATTACATTCTTCTTGCTTTGGACATTCTAACTGTGGTAATCTGTAATAACATTCTTTTGACATAAGATTAAGTATATAATGTCATTTTCATTTCCTTACTGGTATCAACGAAAAACATTTTTGTAATTTCACTAAAAAGTATAATTCAATGTATTTTCTACTTACTATCTTGTTACCATTGTTTGTGATTTACACAATTTCTGTATGTTTTTGAAATTTCTAGAGCTCATATAAAAACTATATTTAAACATCACTTTCTTCACATTCAGTTTCATACCAGTCTACAATTAGATTAAATAAAGCAACACATTGAAAATAGTATGAACCTCTTTCACGTGCAGTACCACACAGCAAACATTGGTGTCTTAATGTTTTAAAGAGCAGTCAGTTTTGTTGGTTGTAAGTATTATACTGTTGTTCAGATGGGTACAATGCTTGATATACTAAATCTTCAAATGGATTGTTAAACACTGTAAATTGCACTGGAGTTCAGTAAGGTTTACAGAAAGTTTAACACAAAAGTGTGTTGACATGCACTGATGAATAATATAAATAAATAAATATAAATGTACAAGTACATTTTTCTATTAATATTATTAAGCTTTTTTCCTGAAATTACTTCAAATATTAAAAAAAAAGTGAGATTGCTGTAACCTGTTTTAGGTTTAGGTAGAGCTGGGCAATTAGTGATATTTGCTTATCAACCAATCAATCAACAGCTCTATTAAGTCGATTACATTCAATTAATCAATTACTGATTAGTACTGTGTTCCTGTAACTATGGTAAATACATGCGAGCAAGAAAAGGTTGGCAATGAATCACCCTAGTTGCCTTCCCTTTAGTCAACAGTTAAAGAAGGTAAAACAAGAAAAGGTTCGCAATGGATCACCCTAGTTGCCTTCCCTTTAGTCAACAGTTAAAGAAGGTAAAACAATGCCTCTCAAAAAAAAAAGTTGGCAAGTGTTATCAGACAGTTGCCTACCTTTTAGTCAGTAGTTCAAAGTTAGTGATAGTAGCAGAAAGCCTTATCCCCCTTCCCAGTTCACCAAAGATGAATAAACTTGAAGTAAAAAAACAAAAAACTTACAAGAATAAAATTGGGCAGAGCAAAAACAGCCCATTATGTAGCTTTGTGCTTAACAACAAATATAATAGCAATACTTCAATTACTTAGATAGTTGGAAATAATTGAAAATACTAATGATTGGAAACAATAATTTCAATTAGTTTATTATAATTGTGATGACTGATTTAATTGTAATTTCATTTAATCGATTATTGGAATAATCAAACACAATAATTTTAATTAATCAATAAGTTTATGTGACACTAATCAAAGTAACTACCCAGCTCTAGAACCAGGTACCAGAAATACTAACTAGGAAACCCCTCTGGTAAAAAAATAATAATAAAACAAACAATGCAACAGTATAACTGTAGACTGACTCATCATGTGAACAAAAACAAGTATGGATTTAACGTTTTCATACATCAACATGAAATTTAAATTACTAATACCTTCTTGGCAGACTAAATGAGATTTGAGAGAAACAAAAAATGAGCAAGCATTATAATTTTAGTTAAAGTGGTAATTATTTGCTTCTAACTTTTAAAATTAACTGTCATCCTCAAACTTTTATATGTATGATCATTGGGTAATTAAAAGTCTGGATGAATAATTTCACTTGAACAGTTTAACTAGTTTAAGCATGTGACTGCCATCAATGTGATGCTAGTAAGATACTTATAACAGAAAAGTTAGTGACAATATCTTAAAAATTTACCAATACAAGGAACTCTCTCAAACTAACATCATCTGGCTCTTTCAGATACACACACACACACACATATATATATTTATATATACAAGAGAGAGAGGGAGATAAAACAAATCAGATGGTAAGAAGACAAAATTTGTATATATAAGCTCAAAACTAAAAAAAACAAAAACATGTCTAGTCCTTCAAGGAACAGTTTGTCTTCGGGCTTCTGTTGCTTATTGCCTATATAAATGCTATGGACAAGATTTGTATACACAAGCTCAAGACTGAACAAAGCTAATCAGTTTTCCACTGTTATTGCAAGTTTGAGGACACTTTATAACAGTACTTGATGTTTGTTAAAAAGATGATGTAAAAATCGATGGCAAGGCCCGTATATGACATGATTTACAATAACAAAAAATACTCACTTATGCATTAGAGATATCCAACACTTTCACCTGTACCATGAAAAGGTACTCGGTCATAGATTACAAACTGTTTATATAGCAATGAAGTAAACAAACTAACTATCATCATAGTGATTCCCCTTTTGGACAGGTTTGAAGGATTTGGGAATATTTGATTTGACTTGTCGTTGTTTTAACTTGTGAACATTTGTATACATATGTGTGTGTGTTTATATATATATTTGTAAGACTTGATTGTCCAGTATTTCATACATTTTAGCTCATAGGATAAATTTTAGCTGAGCCTTTTATGCTTGGGAATTTTAAGAGCACTTGCATTTTTTTTGCAAGCTTTCTAGTCTTTTAACATAACCCATTAGCCATGTGCAGCAGCTGTTTTTAGGCAATTCAAAAGTATAATTGTTCTCTGATGAGGTATCATATCATTGGGTGGATATAGAGAAAATATCTTTGATATAGTACCATTAACATAAAAACACACACACACCTGTTGTTTCGTACTCTTGCTTGGCTTGACTGAGAAGTGTATCTCCTTCATGGACTTCTCGATCATGCTTACAGGATAAGGTCTCTTAGTTTCAGGGTTAATACACTTGTCTGATACTATTGTAGCAATGTCTTTAAACATTGATTCTAATTGAGCTTGCCTCTCCTTCTCCGAAACCTGAAGTTCACCTTTGGCTAAGATCTGACAATATTTTTCAATTTAAACAAATTATAGATTCAATGTTTCATTAACATTGAAGTCAGAGTTCAAAAGTATTAGTAAATTTAAATCTTGTACAGACAAATGTAACTATATAAAAGTTTTGCAGAACTAACATTTTCCACAAGAGAGCCAAACTGAAAACTTTTTTTTTCCCCCACACAGATGCAAGATATGTCTACAAGTAGACATGTTATATCAGTTTTTTCTTCACATTATTATTAAATTCAAATATGAAATTGGAAAGAAGAAGAAGTGTCAATAAGATGGAGTAAAAAATAATTTAATTTGTAATGAAATACCAATTTGGATGATTAAATCCTGTTCCAAAGTTTTATAGGACGTTTCCAGTAGATGTATGTGTTCTGTAATTTTTTTAATTTGGCTAGTTATGTCTACGGTGTTTAATGATTGTTGTGTGCTATTAAAACCTTTAAATTTTTCTTCACTTTATCATGAATGAGGATTTTTGATTGTGTGACAATAATACACCCTGTGCTGTTCCACATTTTAGTATGTTCTAGGCCTAGCTAGTTGCATGGGAAACCTTTCTAGTGCAAGTTTTTTTTGTGTGTGTGTGAGTAATGTAAAAACTGTCTACTCTTCTTTAAACTGTTGCAAAATTCTGGCAAGAAGTTTTCTTATCTCTCATGCTTTCAAGTTTTGAAGCTAACATTTGAATTAGGTCCAAACAATTTTTAAGATCTGGGTCCCTGTAGCCTGGTGCTGCTAAATGTTATCAAATCAGAAACTATATATATATATATATATATATACATGTTTTACACATAATACTGTGTTGCTGTATATTGACTGTAAATTATTAAAAGCATATAAATTTCAAAAGTTACACGTATAACAATTGTCGAGACTTAAACAAAAAACAGGGTGGTGTACTTAGTCTTTTTTTTTTAAGGAAATCAGAGGTGGAGAATATATTGATATAAAATCAAATCACATTTATTACATGTAAACAAAAACATATTTAATGAAAATGAAACCTGATATAGAATAGAATAAGTGCACTAATGAAGTTGGTGAATCAAAATCCATTTATGAAATACAAACCTCTTTGCATATTTCAACCTGATTCTCAGTTTTAAAACACTTTATAAGGTCTTCTTTCTTGGCAACTTGCCCTTTTGATACATTGGTGAACACACTATCAGTCTGCAAAACCTCATCCAAGTCTTTCTCCCTAGTAAATATTAACTGGATTTTTAAAAATTGTCATCCAAAAAGAAAAACATACAGCACTGGAAATTCATCTTAATTTTTTTTTAATACATATAGTTTCTTGACCTCTAAAAACAAAAATTCATAAACTAAGTTAAATTACCATTATCAAAACACCAGTTGTTGATATTAACATTTGGATAAATGATAATAAAGAATAACTTAATACATCTTAATGAAAACTTTTCCTAGTTTATTTTGTGCAATGTTTCAAGCAGATCACACAAAATAAACTGAAAAAAGTTTTCATTTAGACGTGTCAATTTATTCTTTATTATCAGTTATCCAAGTTTTTTCTTCTCACGTTTTGTGGAATAACATTCATTCAAGATATTAATATTGCCATAAATTTTTACTGGTAGTAATTTTTATTTATTTATTTCTAATAACACACATTACTGCATTGTCAGTTTTTGTGTTCATACATCTTAGAGGTGTAACATAAGCACTGCATTATCACAAGAAAACTTGAGGTGACAAAGGAAAAAAACAGAACCAAAATATTAAAAAGATAATTAAATTTAACCCATTACACCCACGTAATTAACAACTATTTTTAAGTAAAATTTCCTGTTTGAGTTGGACAAGATTCTTTCTTGAGTGGTCTCAATGGGCCAAATGGCTTTCTGTCACCTTATCTTTTATGGGTTCTACTATAGCGTGCGGTCTACAAAGATATTTACACTATAGCACGAGTCTACACAGATACTATCATCATCACCATTTTAACTTTCGTTTATTTACAATTGGCGGCATTTATTATAAATAATATTTTTAAATTAATAAAGTACAAAATATCAAACATCACATTTTTGAGGCAAATATAATCGGAATGAAATAAATTCCAACAATCAAAACCAGCACAATTATAACCTAAATTTAAAGTACTCTTTTGGAACACACAACTTATTAAATTATTATTGTTTACTGAACAAAAACATGGATAGATATAAATTATCTAGCAAGAAATTATGTTTTAGTAAATCATTAAAACAGTGATGATGATAGTATCTGTGTAGACCATAAGCTATAGTGATAATATCTTTGCAGACTGCACGCTATAGTAGAACCCTTTTATGTTCTTAGTTATTTACCACCTTTACACTCCACCTTCATGCAGCACACAGAATCAATATCAAGCCCCTTTTGGTTCTATGTTTCAAATGAAAATATGTCAAAATCCCAAAGCTAAACTTTCTTATACCAGTTACCATTCTATTAGCTCATTTCTGTTGGCATATTGGCATCTTTCTTGTAACAAGAGAAACAACACAGAAAATACTTGGCAAATTTTTACTGTTCTAAAAGTTCAGATACTCTTAAGGTTTAGAATTTAGATTGCTGTTTAGTGTTCGAATTTTATTGATCCTTAAAGTAAAGAATTAGACTAGCTGGGATACTAAATACTTTCACGTACACAATAAAAATGGTTGATTAATGTATGAACAGCAAGGGACCATTTGATCCTTCAAAGCTCTTTGCACATCTACTCTTCAAGAAAGTAAAAACTTAAACCCACCCATTTTTTTTTTAGGAAATTATCAATTCCCCTTTTAAACTCTTGTGATGACTCATTCCATATGTTAGAAAAATAAAACTGTCTTAATTGGCACCTAGCCTGTCTTTTCTAAATCTTCAACTTGATCCTATTGTCTTCAGGATATACAGTAGCACAAAGAAATCAGAGGCCTTCATCCTACTGATCATCCAGATAATCTTGTAAACTTTAATAAGATCATCTCTACCCCTCTTTTCTCAAGAGAAAAAAGTTAAGAGGTCTCAACCTATCTCCATCAGATAACCCTTTCATCCCTGGAATCATCCTAAGTATTCCTCCTATGAACCTGTTACCTTAAGTTAATGTCCTTAGGAATCCAAAATTGTGTGAAGTATTACAAGTTAGGCCTAACTAGTGATTTATGAAAAGGTATAGTTACTTATTTTGACTTGTAATCAATATATCTATAAATACATTTTAAGCTTCTATTAGTTCTGCTACTACCAACAGAGCACTGCCTGACTGGCTTGAGTGACTTATCCACCACTATGCCAAGATTATTTTCTTCAGTCACACTACTAATGGTTTCCAACTATATTAAATACATGGTTGAAATTATGATAACTCAAGTACATTATCTCTCTCTCAATACAATTAAAGGTACTTTGACAAATATTTGTCCAATTAACCAACTGATCCAAGTCATTCTGTAGTACATCAGTGTCATCAATACAGCTAGAAATACCCAAGAGATTAATGTCATTCACAAACTTTACTAATTTATTTATTATTTCCCTATAAATATCATTAACATAAGAAAAGTCATAATTGAAATTGTGGTTATTTGGAAAAAAAAACATTTTGCTTCTAAGAAAAAGTGAATTTTAGTTTAAGTATTGTGATTTTAAATTGTAGAACTTGCAAAAAATACGTTGTTAAAATTAGCTGCAGATTTCCAATAAAGTCTTAAATCTACAAGTATCTATCAATATGAAAAGAGATCTGGTTAAAAGCTTGTAGAGGTGGATCTGGGGGGGGGTCCAAGTGGTTCATCTCCATTTATATTGCAAAAAACAAATTTGAAGGAAAGAGCAAAACATTAATTAGCAATAAAGTCATTAAAGATAAAAACAGAGATGTAAGTGTTGGTAGAAATATATTTGTTTACTGGCATCAGTAATATTCATATTTCTGTATGAAAAGGGAGGCTTGGACCACTTGTAAAGACAAAACATTAAAGATTGCTGTAAATATTACAATTTAAAACCCACCAAAAATATTTGAACAAGACCCCCTTTCCATCAGATGACTATAAAACATACCACCCCTCTCTCTAGCCCATCAGTGAATAAAATTGAGTCCAAGGGTTACTTCAAGATCCTTATTCTAACAGTCAGCTCCACAAATGAAGGTAAATATATTTTCAATGTCAGCAAAAAGCATTGGACAATCAGATTTCTTAATGACAATTTTTCCAATGGGAGTAACAGACAAAAGTCAATGGAATTAGACTTACAAACATTTTGATTTGTAAAAAAACTTAAGCTTCTCCCAGCCTCTCTGATATCTGTTCAAATAGATCCTCCCCTTTTTTGAAAATCCTGGAGAGTATAAAACTTGTATACAAATGACAACTTAATGGCACACAATTTCTACATCATACTTATTTAGTAAATTGTTATAGTCTTATATAAAGATTAAACAGCAAAAATTGTTTCCCTGGCATCTCACGGCTTAATCCTTTGACTTCTATGGGCCTAGAAACCCATGATCTAAAAACTAGTTTTCCTTCATTCTGCTCAGAACTAAATCATCCGTTCAGCAGTACCAATATCCAGCCAATGACTGAAGGAAAACATATGGATTTAAGGCATATTACTAGTGATAGTAGTATACTACTAGTTTATCTTTTGCTGTTAGTGTTAGCAATGTATTGGAATCTATTGTTAGAATTATTTAATATTTTAAAGATGTCTTAGGAATTTTTTTTCCTATCCCAATTTACTGGAACTTTTTCATAAGCACCTCCTTTTTGTTCATGTAAAAGCACCTTTGTTTATATTGAATATCATTATCATGACCTTCCTTACATTAACAGTATGATTAAAGAGTTCAAATATCATCGAATTAGTGGAAAAGTTAAAAAAGTAGATATAAAACTGGCTTGATAGTAAATCTATACGAAACTTTAAAATTAGGCAACTTACACTTTACTTCTCCATGACATCACCTTGTTCTTATAGCATGCTATTTCAAATCTTTTTCCTCCTTTTTTCATTCGAACCACTGCAACATTTGTTAGTCTAATTTGGTTGGTGGGTGTAAAAATTGACATTTTTACAAAGTAAAATATGTGCAGCTGGAAAGAAACAGTTTTAACAAATGAGCCACAAACACAACTGCATAACACTCTAGACTGAGTTTAGCCTAAGTTTAGAAAAATCAAGTAAAACTGTAACACCGCAGTACAACCAGTTTTAACTTTCAATTTCAGTTGTAAAACAATATTTCAAACAGCCAGAATTTTTCTATGTCACTTCTATCCTGATTAATGCTCCCAACGCCTATGAAATAACAGTATTAATACTGTAAATTATAATACAGCCTGCAGGTTAGCCCAAAATTAATACGTCTTAGAAGGTTTTGCGTATATCGTTTACGCCTACAGCAAATACTAATTATTAATATAATGGAAGGGAAACATTGTGCCAACACAGATTGCCTATATAATTTCGTAAAATGACTAATAAACGAGGAAATATTTTACATTCAATTTAACTTTGGCCAAAACAAAAGCACGGTTGAAAACAAATTCTGTAGGAAACGGAGTATGACGAAGTTAAGATCCAAAATAAATAAAGTTATGTAAAATATCCACTCTCAGGTGTTGGTGTTGTTTTGTTTTTTAATGCAAGCGCTGTGTATAAAAATCTCAGAAAATTAATTAGAAAACCTGAAGTGACAATAGTTTTTAAAAACATTTTAAATAAATTTCAGGCACTTGGGTTAATTAATTAGCATCCAATAATAAAAAAAGATGAAAATTACAATATAGCATCCAAAAAATAATTGGTTAAATAATAAAAACATTACAGTCAGCTATTTTTTTTTACCCCAGCTGCAAGTGTGAAAATACAGGGAGAAAACCAAGTTTTACTTTCCATTAAAAAGAACAAAGTTTCAATAAAAATGTGTTTATTCGTAAAGAAAAACAAGAACACCATTTCATTATTGTATTTCAAAAGTTGTTGTTGTTGTTAAGCGCAAGGATACACCACACGTATCGAAACCCGGTACCTAGCATTGATAAGTATTTTGTGTACTTGATAATAATCGCACCAGTGATCAAAACGTCGTACCTGTTCTAAAAACCAATCTTTCTCACTCAATTACCGTAGAAGCTGTAAATTGTAATAAAATATACTGTATCAGTAAGTAAACTCAAAATGAAACTATTATTCATGCCTGTTCTACTGTCATTTCAAAAATGAATGTTGAGCTTTTCCTGCGTGCGCATTTTTTCAAACCGAAGACAGACGAACGCTCGTACAGATACTACGATTCGCAATATATACAAGATAAGTAATTTTTTGTTGTCTATCAAAATTTGTAGTGCACACTGGAGAGATTCACATATTTTGCTAAAAAGTTTGGGAAAAACGACCTTTACACTCCAGATATATATCTTTTTTAAATTATTTAACCAACACTTCGCCTTTGCGACATCCTCTGGGTTAATACACACAACTGTTTTATATTAGAATATTCATTAACGTAAAGTGTAAAGTGGAGTGTAAAGGTTATTTTTTCTAAACTTTTTATCAAGATAAGTAATCGGTGAGTGAGAAGTTAGTGAAATATTCAAGTAATAATTAATAAATGAAAAGTCAGTGAACAATAAGTGAGTGATTCCGTTTAGTGTTAGTAGCGAGAACTACTGCGTTTAACCAGTTAATCAGTCGATTAGCTAAGGAATTATACAACTAATTTTACAAGTAAGTTAAACATATATTTCGGAATTTCTGTTGAAACGTTATTATTCTTAAATTGGTTTAACGCAAACTGGAGTTTATTATGAGATATTTCTATAAACGTAAATAAAATCACGAGCTATATCTTCATAATATAACTTTATTAGCTCAATATTTCGCTATTATAGCTTCGTCAGGAGCTATCGATATTCCCTAATCCAGTAAAATTTAAATTGTAACTCTGTCATTCGTAAATCGAACATTGATACACGAGTTTAGAAAGTTCATATTATATTAAAATAATATCAAACATTCTTGAATTTATATTGTTAAGACAAATCAAACCAACAATGCTAAATAAATAAAATGTGTAAACCAATAAGTAAACTATTAACATCGTTCGATTTAGAATATAATACGTTACGTATCTAAAACATTTATTCATATTTGTACTGGTAAGTATTTTTCCATCTTATGTTATCAATACATATATAAAACAATGTCTGAACATATATTTCAATCCTTATAAATTGTGTATAGAGACTTCGTCAAAGTTCAACATATTAAAATCTTTAAAATGTCCTTAACGTCTCTACACTAATGGCTAATCTTTGTATTTGTTCAATTTAGGTTTATTTTTCTTGATTAAAATGGATTCTTTATTTTTTCTGTCCAGAAAATTATGACATTTATATAAGATATTGACATCCGGTAAGATGTTATCCACTTGTGGTAGGTCATGTTCTTTTCCATAATGTTTTGCAATAGCATTGTTAGTATTGAGGTTTTGGATGTCACGCACATGTTTATATATTCGAGCGTGTACGGATCGACAAGTTTTTCCTATATACGTACAAGAGCATCTGCCACAAGTTACTTCATAAACAACATTTTCACTACGGCATCTATCATGTAATTCATATTTAGTAGCTTTACAGTTATTTTTCATAAATCGTCTTTCTTTCTTGTATTTTGAACTTGTTTTAAATGTCTGGTTTTTTGTACTATTTTAATAGGTAAGTCTGATGCTCTAATTACTCTCTTTAGTTTTGTAGTGATATTATCACTTACATATGGAATCACCCACGTAACCTGAGCTTAAAGTGTGTTTTCTTTATTTATACGGTTCAAAAGAATATGTCTGTTTTCTTTAGCCTCCTCCCACATTTCTTTGTTATTACAAACTTTATCCCACCTATAGAGGTAGCCAATAACGACACCTTTTTACAGCAAGAGGGATGATGTGAAGGAAAATGCAAACAAAGAACTTTAATAGATGGCTTAATGAAAATACCAGTAAAGATTTCCCCATTCCTGACACGAATTGTAGTATCTAAAAACGGTAAATATTGAGCTAATAAAGTTGCATTTTGGAGATATAGGTCGCGATTTTAGTTAAGTTTATAGAAATGTCTGTTGAAACTTCGTTTGTTAGCTTACGCCTACAACTTGTGTAAAAGTGAACACAGCCATTGAGGAAATTAATTAATTCGTTATCCTTACATGGGTTGGACTTTTTACTAAATAATCCAAAAGAACCCTTCCAATCTTTTTTTTTTTTTCTTAAGAGCATTCATCTCAAAAGCATGTGTGGGTACTTTTCCTTTCATAATGCTAAACAAGAGTTCAGCCAAATTGTTGAGAAAATTGGAAGATAAAATAACATTTTTATTAGCTTCATTAAATTGGGAAATTGCAATGTACGAGTTAGAAAATGTAAAGAGATGATATATCTCCAGCATTCGATAGAAGTAACCACATCAATGTTCATATTGTTGGAAAACTCAATCAGACTTTGACATGTACAATCTTTATCAATCTCACTAATTAATCAGTCTGGAAAGCCAAACTCTTTCAAAATGTTGATTAAGCTTTTTAGATTCTAAACATTGAGCATTAATAGGGACCACAATCTTAACATGCTCAAATATTAGAACATCAAACCGGAATCTCTCTTTTATATCACATATGACTTCTTTGTAAAATTCTCTGGCTGATGAATATATGTTGGTTTGTTCTTCATGGTCAATATTTCTATAATTTGTTTCCAGGTCTCTCAGTGTGGATGGTACTAAGATACCAAAATATATTTTGTTCACAGGCATATACTCACTCTCTTTCCTTTTGGGTCCAAGCATGATCTTATGGTTAACGTATCAGACTGAAGACCAGTTTGTTCCACGATTTGTCCTGTTACTACTGTAAAAACTGGCTGCCTCCTAACTCATCAAAGTTTCCGTTGCGCCCCCTTTCACATTAAAATAATTTTCGCAAGTGATAATAGCAAAAGCAACATTTTCTTTACCTCTTTTTAATATACTTTTTAATGAAAAAATGCTTGTAAGGAGTGAGCAAATGCGAGAGTAAAGTGATCGTTTTGTTAGGTTATCATCGTAATTTTTGGAAAACACTGTTAGGAACAGCAAGCGGAAATAGCTCTTTAGTAGCTTTGCTGAAATTCATCATACTGTTACGTCTCTGGTCGTTTGTTAATTTACCGTAAAAATTATTTTCGAAGAACATCAGCGATACAAGTTCTTTCTTAAATAAAACTAATTTATTCTTTCTCAACCCAACTTTGCAATACACAGAACTTCCACAGTCACTCTAACTTAAACATACACGCTCTAATTCACAACGATTCATGCACTTTACTTACGGTCACTACCGCTCACTCGACTCGATTATCTGTCTCTATATCGTCCTATCTGCCCTTATCTATGCCGTCACTTCTTGCCGGTCGTATATATGCAAAATAGAGGGCGTCTGGCAAACACTCGAGCTTTCAGGAACCTTCTAGACACTCATTACGTGTTACCAGAGTCACGTGACTTCCGCTGTCGTAACAATACAAAGACACAAATTGTAGGTTTCAGGAAGGAAGAGGTAAAATGAGAACCTGACCCTCCCAGGTCATCCAACGAACTAAAACCCAATTCCAAACGATACTGTTGGTTTCATTAATGTGAGCATGAGAATGTCTTAGTTTTCATTTTGAAACAGTCAGCGAGTAGTGGATTTCACATAAAGAGATGAAAATAATGGATAAGCTCACGCCACATTTACAGGAAACACAGTTTGATTTGTGTCTCACAAGTACTGGCCAGTAACATCTCAGTTTGAATTGACTTTAGGCCTAATTTCATAAATAAACTTTTCAACATAAAGAAACTAATGTAGGCCTAATTTCAAATATATCGTATGAACACGTATTCTAGCATTAAAGGTATTACGCCTAGTTTAGTTAACTTAAGTCGATAAACAAATATTCTAACATAAAATAACGTTTTGGGACAACATGGGACCTATTGGTCCATCTCGGCTGTTTCATTCTCTAAACTAAACTAAAACTATTAATAAATAAATTTAACATTTTTTTAAAGCCAGCCCTTGTCATTCATATGCTTATCAAGATTTCTCTTAAACTCACTTAAATTTACTGCCTCCACAACATCCAAAGGCAATCAATCCAAAGGCCAACCACTCTTTTAGAAAAATAAAACTGTCTTAACTGAAGATGACTTCTCCCCTGCCAACATTTATAGTTGTGTCCCCTAGTCCTACTATCCTCACTGTTAAGTATGAAAAAATATAATGCATCAACACTATCAATTCCCTTTATAATCTTAAACACTTCAATCAGATCTCCCCTAACTCTTCTTTTTTTTTGAGAGAGAGAGAGAGAGATTTCAACCTCTTCTCGTATGACAACCCCTCCATCCCAGGCACCATTCTAGTAACCTTTCTCTGAACCCTTTCCAACAATTCAATGTCTTTCCTCGGGTAAGGAGCGCAAGACTGAACACAATACTCCAAATGTGGCCTAACCAGTGACCTGTACAATGACATTATAACCACTTTAGACTTGTATTCAATATTTCTGTAGATACAACCTAAAACCCTATTTTCACTACCTCTAGCAACAGTACACTGCTTGGATAGCTTTAGAGACTGATCGATTACACCAAGATCCCTTTCTTTCATTACACTGTTAAGGTTATTCCCATCCAAATTGTACTTATAACTCAAATTATGATAACCTACATTCATTATCTTGCGTTTATTATAATTAAAACCTATTTTCCAATTATTTTCCCAACTCACTAAATGATCTAAATCCTTTTGTAAATCAGCAGCAGCATCTTTACAGCTAGCAACACCCAAAACCTTAATATCATCTACAAATGTAAGTAAATTATTGACCATTCTTTCATATAGGACATTAATGTAAATCAAAAATAGCAAAGGTCCTAAGACTCAGCCCTGAGATACCCCACTTGCGACATTAATCCAGTTTGACTAAACTCCATTTGTAACAACCCTCTGCTTTCTTCCATCCAGCCACATTTCTATCGAATTTGCTAACTTATCCCCTACACCTAAAAATATAATTTTTAACTAGCCTTTCATGTGGCACCCTGTCAAATGCTTTTTGAAAATCCAGATACACTAAATCTACACTCTTTCTCTCATCTACATAACTGAATACTCAAAATAGCAAAATAGACGTGATAATTGTCACTTCTAACACTATATTTCGTGAATTTCTTTTACTCACCAAAATGTGAATTTCAATTAAGTAAATATTTCACGTTGTCTCTACCACAAACGTCTGCAAACGCATTTTAGTCACTCATAAATGATCATGAAGGCAACTTGATTAGAATCTCCATGTAACTGTATAAAGCTAGAATTGTCTTTTTCTGGCTTTATCATAACTGAACTCGTCAATGAGTTTTGAAAAGTCAAGCTTTCGAAGTAGTTCACATTCTATGTTCATTATGAACAGACTGTTTAATTGGCGTTATCCTATTCTGTGGTTCGGCATGGCCAGGTGGTTAGGGCGCTCGACTCACAATTTGAGGGTCGCGGGTTCGAATCCCCGTCCCACCAAACATGCTTGCCCTTTCAGCCGTGGGGGCGTTATAATGTAACGGTCAATCCCACTATTCGTTGGTAAAAGAGTAGCCCAAGAGTTGGCGGTGGGTGGTGATGACTAGCTGCCTTACCTCTAGTCTTACACTGCTAAATTAAGGATGGCTAGCGCAGATAGCTGTCGTGTATCCTTGCGCGAAATCCATAACAAACAAACAATCCTATTCTGTTCCTGAGCTCACTTTTTATTGATTTCAATTTCGAAAACGATCGTTCTCCACTGCAGTTTGATTCCACCATGGACAAGTATATTCTCAGCACTGTCTCAACATTAGGAAATGGAATCCCATCCCACCATAATTGTTAGTGTGCTGTCCAGGAAGCATTGCGCCATCTGTACTTCTAAATTACTGAATACAAAGAGGCAAGTGACCAGTATCAACCTCTTTTACTTTATAACTTAGTATTAATTATTTTGTACAAACACTTCTCACAGTTGTTACTCGAAATTTCTAATATAAGCGTTGTAACGTCAACTTTAGAATTTAAGTACTGTTACTTCACATTTCTTTATTTTTCGTTCCACTACAAGCATCATACAAAACTAAACTTGCAATAATATTGTCACATGTCTCAGTATTAGGCAAATTCGTAACAGTGTCTATAATTACTTAACGTTAAAGTTAATGCACGCGCAAATGCTCTATATATTTCTGCCAAGAGTTTAACTTTCGTTTTTGTGTAAAATTTAAACTGCAATTAAATGATTTTCGATTATTAATTTTTAATCGTTTACCATTTATGTAAATAGTTTATTTTTCTTCTCTTTTATATTGTTTTAATTAAAATTGTAGAAATCCTAATAGAGTTTTGGAAAATTATTAAAATCCGTAAAAAGCCCGGGAACCTGGAACTAGCGTTTAAAATCTTATTTTACAGACATAAATCCTGGAAAATGGAAATAGTGCGTACTGGCCAAAGCCTTAAACAGAAAGAGCAAACATGTAGCGTCCTCTATTAGCTATAACTGAACAAACGTCATATCCTGTTGTTACATCATCTTCGTTCAACGTGGTTTCATCGTGAAATCTTACTCTTCTTTATTGGACTTTTTCTAGTGAGTATATTACTGTGGTTTGTTGTTTTATAGCACTAGCAACAAGAAAACTCATTAGCGTTTTACTTTTAGTAGTAATGGAGCTAGGAGTTACTTGCAGCTTGTCGGTACCGCCATTATCTGTACTATTAACAGGAGAATTTGTGAAGCCCGACATTGTATTGAACGTGGCATGGGGAAAGGCTACTACCTTAGAAATATCAAATAACGGAGTAACTCTTAACTCGGCCATTGCTATATGTCGCTATCTAGCACGACTTGCCCCATCAAAAGGTCTTTATGGTACTAGTGTTTTAGAAAAAACTGAAGTGGATCACTGGTTAGAATTTACCACCAAGTTGTGTTCTCCAAGTGAATTTTCTCAGAATATTAAATATTTAAATGAGGTATTCCAGGCACCAATTTTGTATCTTGTTGGTCAGACAGTCACACTTGCAGATGTAGCTGTATGGGCAGCTCTGTATCAGAATAACCAATGGCAAAAGTTATTGACAAAAGGAACAGCCCCATTTAACCTTCTTCGTTGGTACAAGTTTTTATCTTCTACAGAACCATTTAATGCAGCTGAACAACTGCTGCCTGCTGAAACTCAAATGAAAATGGGCAGAATATCTGGTAAAGATGATAAAAAAGCGAAATCAAATGACAAGGGTACCAAAGATGAAGGAAAGTTTGTTGACTTACCTGGAGCTGAGAAAGGAAAAGTGGTGATTCGTTTTCCTCCAGAAGCCAGTGGATTTCTTCATATAGGTCATGCCAAAGCTGCACTCTTGAATCAGTATTATCAAAATGAATTTGAAGGAAAATTAATTTTACGTTTTGATGATACAAACCCTGCCAAGGAAAAAGAAGATTTTGAAAAGGTCATTTTAGAAGATGTTGAAATGCTAGGTATAAAACCTAACATTTTTTCGTACACTTCAGATTATTTTGATGTGCTTCTTCAAAGCTGTGAAGATTTATTGAAATCTGGTAAAGCCTATGTTGATGACACTGATGGGGAAACCATGAAAGTTGAAAGAGAGGAAAGAAAAGAGTCAAAAAATAGAAACAATTCTGTACAAAGAAATTTAGAAATGTGGGAAGAAATGAAGAAAGGGTCTAAAAATGGCCAAAATTGTTGTGTTAGAGCTAAAATAGACATGAATGCTGACAATGGTTGTATGCGAGATCCAACTCTGTACCGTTGTAAGAAAGAAACTCATCCCCGTACAGGAAATAAATATAATGTATATCCTACTTATGATTTTGCATGTCCTATAGTAGATAGTATAGAAAATGTCACTCATGCTCTCAGAACAACAGAGTATCATGATCGTGATGAGCAGTATTTTTGGATCCTTGATGCTTTGGAAATGAGAAAGCCTTATATTTATGAGTATTCAAGGCTGAATATGATGAATACAGTTCTTTCTAAACGAAAGTTAACATGGTTTGTTGAGCAGGGTATTGTAGATGGATGGGATGATCCTCGTATGCCTACTGTAAGAGGTGTTCTAAGACAGGGCATGACAGTAGAGGGTCTTAAGCAGTTTATTATAGCTCAGGGTTCTTCCCGTTCTGTTGTAATGATGGATTGGGATAAAATATGGGCTTTTAATAAAAAAGTTATTGACCCAATTTCTCCTCGGTTTACAGCTGTTGAGAAAGATAATGTAGTTTCTGTTATTGTGAAAGATGCAAGTGAAGAACCACAACAAGTTCCAAAGCATCCAAAAAATCCAGATGTAGGTATGAAGACTGTGTGGACTGGACCTCACATTGTAATTGATAGAGCTGATGCAGAAGCTATGAAGGATGGTGAAAATGTGACATTCATCAACTGGGGAAATTTGTTGATTAAATTCATCAAAAAGAATAGTCTAGGGCAAGTTGAGCAGATAGAAGCTACTCTTAACTTAGACAATAAAGACTATAAGAAAACACTGAAGGTTACCTGGCTTGCTAACACTGAAAAAGCTCCTTTGGTTCCATGTGTTTTTATCTATTTTGATCATCTTATTACAAAATCAATTTTGGGTAAGGATGAAGACTTCAAATGTTTCCTTGCAGACACCACTAAGACAGAGGTGATGATGTTAGGTGATCCAGAAATGAAAAAACTGAAGAAAAATGACATCATACAAGTCCAAAGAAAGGGTTATTTTATCTGTGACCAGCCTTATGATTCCGGAAGTAATGACAGCCGTGTTGTACTAATATTTATACCTGATGGTTCTAAGGATACAAATATGTTGCCTGAAATTGTAAGAAAAGCAAAAGGCATAGGTAAAAACCAAAATAAGAGTGTAACGGCCAAAGCAGAAGTTGTACAGTCTTCAACTAATAAAAATAAAGACTTGGATGATGCTAGAGTAAAGGAACTTAATGATCAAATTAAAGCTCAGGGTGAGAAAGTCCGTTCGTTGAAATCAGAAAAGGTAGATAAGATGGTTATTGATGCTGAAGTTCAAGAGCTTTTGAAGTTGAAAGCAGACTTTAAGATTATTACTGGTAAAGAATGGAAACTTGATACACATATCAAGAGTGCAGAACAGGCAAACCAGTCTAAAAGTAATAAAAAAAATGTAAATAATAAAGAAGAGGATGAGTGTTCTTCAGAAAACCTTTCTGGTCTTTCACTAGAATTAGATAAACAGATTAAGAACCAAGGTGACAAAATTAGACATATGAAAGTAGAGAAGGTAAGCAAGGATGTATTAGATCCCGAAATACAGACACTCCTTAAGCTAAAAACAGATTTTAAAGCTCTCACAGGAAAGGAGTGGAAGCCTTCAAGTAGCAATACTAGTAATGTAAAAAAGAAGGAAGATGGCAAAGGAGATTGCCAAACAAAGGATTCTGCCACAAAAGATCAATATAAAGATGCAGCAGGATTAAAGGCAAAAGCTGATGCTCAGGGTGAAAAAGTACGAAATTTAAAAACAAGTGGAGCATCCAAGCAAGAGATAGAGTCTGAAGTAAAGATTCTTTTAGATTTAAAAGCTAAATACAAAGAATTGACAGGAGAAGATTTAAATAAAGGAGCTGACAAAAGAAAAGATAAAAAGAAAGAGAAACCAGAAGGGAAGCAAGATCTGAATAAGAAACAGCATGTGAAGAAAAAGGAAGCACAAGATGGGTTAGAAATGACACAATCTGGACTCAAGAAAATTACCAGGCTTGGTATTGAAGCCAAGAAAGAAGAAAATTTGGCAGACTGGTATTCTCAAGTTATCACTAAGGCTGATATGATTGATTATTATGATATTAGTGGTTGTTACATTTTAAGACCATGGTCATTTAGCATTTGGGAAGTCATACAAAAGTTTTTTGATGCAAAAATAAAAAGCATAGGGGTTCAAAATTGCTACTTTCCAATGTTTGTGTCTGCTCAGGCTCTAGAGAAAGAGAAAACTCATGTTGAAGATTTTGCTCCAGAAGTTGCATGGGTCACAAGATCTGGAAATTCTGACCTTGCTGAACCAATAGCCATCCGCCCAACAAGTGAAACTGTTATGTATCCTTATTATGCCAAATGGATAAAGTCACACCGAGATCTCCCAATTCAACTTAACCAGTGGTGTAATGTGGTTAGGTGGGAATTTAAACATCCTCAACCATTCCTCAGAACAAGAGAGTTTTTGTGGCAAGAAGGACATTCAGCATTTGCTACACAAGAAGAAGCTGTTAAAGAAGTGTATCAGATCCTGGAATTTTATGCTGAAGTTTATGAGAAATTGCTTGCTATTCCAGTTATTCGAGGTAGGAAAACAGAAAGGGAAAAGTTTGCTGGAGGTGATTTTACAACAACTGTAGAAGCTTATGTTTCAGCTAGTGGTCGAGGCCTTCAGGGAGCAACATCGCATCATTTAGGTCAAAATTTTTCAAAAATGTTTGAAGTAGTTTTTGAAGACCCTGAAACATCCGAGAAAAAATTTGTTTACCAGAACTCGTGGGGTATTAGCACTCGTACTATTGGTGCTTTGGTCATGATCCATTCAGATAATGTTGGTCTTGTTTTGCCTCCTCAAGTTGCTTGTTTCCAGGTTGTCATTATACCTTGTGGTATCACAGCTAGCCTTACTGATGCAGATAAAAATGATTTAATTAACAAGTCCAAAGACTTTGAAAGTATGTTAATGGAAAGTGGAATAAGAACCCACTGTGATTATCGAGACAATTATTCTCCTGGATGGAAGTTCAACCACTGGGAATTAAAAGGTGTCCCTCTTCGGGTAGAACTTGGTCCAAGAGATATTAAACAACAGCAGTTTGTAGCTGTACGACGAGACACTGGTGAGAAGATGACTTTAAAAATGGAAGAAGCAGTGGTTGTTATTAAAGATCTTCTGGATAAAATTCAGAATAGCCTGTACCAGAAAGCTTTGGATGACTTGAATAAATACCTAACTGTTTCTCATGAATGGGAAGACTTCCTTGAGAAGCTAGACAATCGTTGCATTATTCAGTCTCCATTCTGTGGTGAAGGTTGTTGTGAAGAGAAAATTAAGAAAGACAGTGCTAAAGATGCAGATGAATTAGGAGAATCTAGTGGACCAGCAATGGGAGCTAAAACTTTATGTATTCCATTTAAGCAACCTGGGGAGATTACAGCTGACTTAAAATGTATATATCCTTCATGTAATAACAAACCCAAGTTCTACACTTTATTTGGTCGAAGTTACTAGCATACCAGAGGTTTCAGATTCAGTCAGCTGTAATGATAAAAATTTAATTATTAAATTTCTATAATGGTTAAAATCTGAATTTTTGTATCAGTAAGTGGTGTTGTTTTTAAAAATCATTTTCTAATTTGATTAAGTTTCTGAAACTTGTACATTTTATATACTATAGTCAGCTTCAAAGTTTTTCTGATAACAGAAAATGCTAGAAATGTGTAAGTACATTTAGGAAGTCAACATTTTTGGAACTTTTTAGGTTGAAAAAGTATATAGATTTTTATCTATACAGAGCGAAGTTTGAAAATTTAATTACAGGATTAGAAAACATCTAATTTGCAAAATGTTTTATGATTGAGCATAAACTGTTATTTCACTAAGATTTTGCTAAATGTTCAACAATTAAGTGCAAGTTAACTATTAGAGATTAATTTGAAGAAACTTCCAACTTCCTATAAATTTATAACTTATTGACTTAATTGCTATACAGCATTCTTACTTATGTATTAGATGTACAAACAGGCATGTTCCTTTTTTTTTTAAATGAATTGTATTTCTTCAAAATGAAAATAAGCTGCATGTCTTTCATGAAACAGTTTTGTGTAAATACTAGAATATCATAGATTTACATGACACTAGTATGATATATGGTATGAACATAATTCATAATGTGTGTAACTCTGAAAAACGATGACATAATTTAAGTCCTAAAACAAAGATATAAAAAAATGAAATGCACAATGGTATTTATTTTATTATTATTTTTTCAGTATAGGGAGGGTCAATAACTACTATACCAACATCCACTGTGTGTTTTTGGGTAGTATTATGCTTATGTGGTATGAGGAGCATGTACTAAATACAATACTCATTATTACGTAATCTTGTTACTTCATTAAATGCATCTAACACTTAACATGAAGATAGAATGCTCAGTATTCTGACATAACATAATGTTATGGATAGCTTGGGACCTATCGATCCATCTCTGTTGTCCCATTCTCTAAACTAAACTAAAACAATTTGGCTTAAGGAAATGATTTGGTGAAAAGCTATAAAACTGATGAGTTGTGGCAACTTTTAACCTTTTCTTTTTATCAAGCCACCTTTGAAGTTGTAAAACTCAAATGTTAGTTTATTGTATTGTCTAAAATTAAAAAAAAAAAGTTCTCATCTATATAACAATGAGGGAAGTTATTCTTAAAAAGATTTTAACAGATTTTCTTTTAGCTTTTCCTCGTGGTTTAGTAATTGCACATTTTTTATATGATACTAATAATGATTATTTCTGAAGAATATGCAAAATTTCTTATTTGTATTAAATTTGGATCTTGAATAAACAATAAACTGCAGTTTTGAGAGGAAATTTTTTTATTTGTTATTGTTTAAAGTATTTAAGAAAAGGATGCTGTATTATTTTAGGGCAAATTCTTAATTTTAACTAAGTTATTGTAATTTAAAATGTGACTTCATAGAAGAAACAAAAAAAAACGTCCAGTTTCATGTGGTAGATCAATACCTATACTGATTGGAACATTTATTGATAACATCCTTTTGTATTTGTGTGTAAATGCACATGAAAGCTGGAAAAGAATCTTCCTTTATTGAATGTTTCAGTTGCAATACTGAATAAAATGTTGTATTTTAAATTAAATACCTAATTTATCATTAAATTTCCCAGTTTCTTTTTTTTACCTAGCATTTTCTGAGTTTTATAGTTTAAAAAGTTTTTTTCTGTATAGGATTAGGAGTTGTTTTTTCTACGAATGTTGAAATGTTACTTTAAATAATACCTGTCTTTTGCAAGACATATATAATTAACAGTTTATAGCTATGGTATGTAAAATAACATACTAGTGGACTTATTTCACCTGGTAAAAGCACAAAAGTTATAATTTTGTATCTGAGTATGCAACGAAGAAATTTTTAGTAAGTATTAGAATTCATAAGTATCAACTGGTCTAATTGATAAACAAGCCATCTTACTGTTAGCAGCAACTTTAAAATTATGTAAATTTATTAAAGCTATGCACTTAGAATATACCATATTGAATATGAGGTAATGGTGATCAATTTAATACTATCGTTTTTGTACGTCTACAAGTCTGAAGTTGTAATTCTGACAAAAAATAAAACTTAGAACTAAATATCCTGTCGCAGCGTGTATAAATAAATATTTTAATGGCTTTATATTTCTTTTTTTTTCTACATTTTAAAATTAAGTATTTAATGGTCTAAGCACTTTTTAAAAAATGTTAATTAATATAGCATAAACTTAAAAACATATATCTCAGTAGATGGCGCTTGAATCTAAAAACTACATATATATAAATAGTTTTGTTGTAGAACATATTTAGATTCGGAGCGTTTAAAATCGAGTGATTTTTTTATGCACCTAAATGTGGTATTCTAAATTTGTAAGAAAATTCATTAACCTCCTTGTTCATCAATATTTTTTTCCTTACTGATATTGGTTTAAAATATTTTATAAGCATTGTTAATATTTGTTTTTTTTTTTTGTTGTTGTTGTTGTTGAAAGCAACTTTCTGTAGATCGTGAATTAGCCCCAGATTGTAGCCACGAAAGCCCGTTACCTTACCACTGGCCCACAATACAAATAGCCAATGATGCAGCTCTGCGCTTAAAGGAAGAAACTTTAATGCTATAAAAGTGTTCTTGAATACATAAATACGAATTACCAAGTGAAACCGGTAACTAAGACAGGGAATGTTTTTGGAGAGAAATAGCTGTTATTTTATCTTAAGTTTACAGAAAGAAAGGCTGTTGCAGTTAAAGCATTTTTTAATATAGTATATGCTGAACAATAAAACCACGGAAGTGGTGAATAACAACATATTTAATGAACGTTTCAGAATATACACATTCCACCTTCAGAAGTTTGCTACAATAAACACAAAGATATAATTACAAATAATAACCTGAACGTTAAATAGAAGTTTATGTATTACGATACACATTTGTAAGGGCAATGTTGAGACTCAAGGGGAAAGGGATGGTAAAAACCTGTAAGTGAACTTGGGTATAGACCCACACTAAATCAATTATTAAATGTATCCATATAGCTAACAATTAATTAAAATGACTTTAACAAAAGTTAAATTATGAAGGTTTCGATTGGATAATTTAAAATGGAGGAACTTAGGAATGAAGTATCGGAGCTTGCATTCAGTAAGGAAGCGAATATTGAGACTAACTTTCCTAATTTTAAAGTTCCATTTTTAAAATTAAGAAAGTTAATCTCGTTTTTTAAAATTAGGAAAGTTAATCTCGATATTTGCTTCCTTACCGAATGCAAGCTCCGACACTTGATTCCTAAGTTCCTCCATTTTAAGTTAAATTATTATTCAAGCTATGCAGACTTTTAATCAGAATTTCCAAATCTGCGTGCCCCGTAGCTAATGCTTTGAAGTCTGTTGAAGAGATTTTTGTGCCCAATTTGACTGTGAATGTAGGTAGAAGAGGTGCAGGGAGATGGTAAAGGGTGACCAGTTTTATAGGCTCGGAGCCTAATTACATTGTAACACGGTCTTTACTGCCTGACGAAGGGCGTCTGCTTAAAACGCCGCACAAAATAAACTTGAAAAAGTTTTCACTTAATCGTGTCGGTTTATTTTGTATTATCATTTATCCAAGTTTTGTTTGTTGCGAAAGAACACATACTCATTTATGGCTTTTTACTGTTAAGAAGTTTGCGTTATTTTTCAATCTACTATAATATAATATTATCCGATATATTCATAATAATCATATTCCTCTGTGCTGTTTGTTAACTTTAATCCTTGCTTAAATGTATTGTTTATTTGTTGAATTTTCGCGCAAAGATAATTGAGGACTATCTGAGCTAGTCGTCCCTAACTTTGAAGTATGGACTGGAGGGAAAACAGGTGGTCAATACCACCGCTACCTCTTGGGCTACTTTTTACTAACGAATAGTGGGATTGATAGTCCCATTAAAACGTTTCCACGGATGAAAGGGCGAGCATGTGGGGCGGGGATTCGAACCCGCGACCCTCAGATTGCGAGTCGAGCGCCCTAACCACCTGACCATTAAGAAAATATAGATTCCTTGTTACTAAGACAAACACAAGTAATGTAAGTTAATTCTTTTCAAACCCTAATCTCAGTTCTATCTACTCTGCCATTTTACTTGGGAGAATTCTAGTTTAACCAACATATCAATTACTCTAGTGGGAAAAAAAATCTCGAATAACACTTTCATTACATAGCTGTGAACGACAAAAAAGTATTTTTACGTTTTGTTCCACGAGCGATTTCTTCCAAATACGTTCAAACTCTGACTTCACACAAAACCACTATAAGTATAACGCGTAATTCAGAATATCAGTATCAATGTCAACATGTCGGCCACTGCCATCACAGTTTTAAGGCTAAAGTCACCTAAAAGAAATTTGCTGAACCATCGTTGACACTTAGGAACACTCAAAACATACCCGTAAACTTCTTTGGTATTCTTTGTGGCTACAGAGGCGTTGTTTCCGTTCTTTTATTCAAACAGCATTACATGCAGAATGTGTTTTCCATCACAATAAGCGATTAGAATATACTAACCTTTACACGTTATGTAGGTTACACTATCGTGACGTTTAGGCGGTTCGTTTAGCTATTATACGTGATGTACGTTTTTTTGAGGGATGGTTAGTGAAAGTGTTCCAAAATGCGACATTAATTTCTTGACGACCTGATACAAATATTTCATCTTAATGCCTTGATCTTTTGAAGATAGATCCAGTGTAATATCAGAAATTACAGTTTTTAGATACATTGATTAATTACATTGTTATAAGTACAAAGTAGTCCAAACCATGAACTACTAATATGATGATAATTTAGGGGATTAATTTTGAAAAACTTAACATATATTTTGAGATACAAGTTTATTGCAAAGGTAAATATTATTTTAAAGCTATCTTTTTCTAACGTATACAATTTTTGAGTACGTAACATTCCATGTTGCCATGTCCAGTCATGATCTATCTGACGACTGTGCATCTTAACAATAGCCTTGGAGCATATTTTCTTAGCAAAAGACTCAGGTGAAAGACTTTCATTTTCAAAGCATACCACTCCTCCCTATAAGATTGCCCCCCTCCCCAGTGACACAGCGGTATGTCTGCGGAATTATAACGCTAGAATCCGGATTTTGATACCCGTGATGAGCAGAGCACATATAGCTCATTGTGTAGCTTTGTGCTTAATTACAAACAAACAAACAAACAAACCTATAAGATGTCTACAATCCTTCTAGTGTTCGAGGAAAACAGTTTTCTAATGCCCATTTCAATAGTCCAATCACACAGAAATCCACAGGCGTTGTAATAGGTAAGTGAACCGGTTGAATGGATACGTCGTGAAAGCAATTTGTGTACGCGTGACTTGCGTCGGTTTTCCAGAGAGAAATCCTTTTTGATTATACGGCGTATTGTTGCCTGGGGCATGTGGACTGCTTTTACCACTGATCTGTATGTTCGTGGATTCTCACCTGTTAGAAGACGCCGAACTTTCTGATTATTACTGTTTTTGCTTAATCCAATAATCTATTGATTGAAATTACCATTAAATCGACTGTCACAAAAATAATCAACTAATCGAAATTAAGGTTTCCAGTTACTACTGTCTTCGATTGTTGCAACCATCAAACGTGGTCACCCTAGCTTTGTTATGGCAAACTTACTCAGGCCATCTCTACTGTCGACTAGAGCATGATTCTCAAACTGTGGTACGTGGAGCTAATGTCGGTGGTACACGACACAATTAATATAAAAATCATAAATTTTGTAATATGCCCTATCTGAACTTTCCAGGTACATATACATACTACTCTCCTCATCTATAAACTCACTCTCTACTTGCATAGATTCGCCAGTATTTTCTTCCCTTAAAATTGACAAAAATGTTACCACATATTCTTCAATCGTGCCAGAAAAAACAACCGCATCATTCACATTAATGGGCAAATGTTAAAAAATGTGAGTTTTTGTTACTGGGTTTTTTTATCTTTAAAAAAAGAATTAGGGCTGAATTTGTAATTTCAAAAAAATGAAACAAAAAGTGGTACGCGAGCCTGAAACGTTTGAGGACCATAGGACTAGAGAAAAGGCAAATACCTTGCAGCACCCGCCACCAACCTGTTTTTTTCTTCTGTTGTTGTTAATGAACTGCTGAGTAAAATGAAGGCAACACTGTTGCTGAACCCATTACTTTCTATTGTTTTAAGTTAACATCTGACTAGATGGAAGGTAACTCTCTGTCTACACTCACATCCAACTGTTTTTTTTCTGCTTGTACATAACTTTGTTCGAAGGACACCGTTACTAATCGATCAACCAAATGTAATCGATTAATAAGGCCGTTGATTAATCGAGTAGCAGATACTACTAATCGCTCAGCACTACTTTCGGGATGATCTTGGTGCCCTAAAAGGATCGATATTTTTTGTTTTCCAACGCCATTAAGTACAAGGGATATTCCCTTCTTGGAAGCTCTAAATCTCTGATCTCAACATATTTTTATGATATGAGTGTATGAATATTTTGCGTCGGAAAGGGCTGCTACATATCTTTATCCAAAGTAGTAAATTTTCGGTGCCATCGTACTATTTGTATAGGTAACGTCAAAATGTTGTTCTGAT